TTGGGAGTTTCGAAGGAGCATCTAGGGCACTTGCCCCTCTGCCAGGTGTTGGGACAAAGTGCTGAAATAGCATGTCCAGAAAAAAAATTAGAAACTGTGTTTTATTTGAGGAGGAGGAGGAGGAGGAGGGGTGTCAGAGCAATTAAACTGCCAGAAGCAATCCTCTTCATTACAATGAGTATATACTGTCCCTGAGTGGGGTAGAGGTGACATGTATGTTACAGCAGACAGAGATGAATTATCTGGGATAGATGACAGATATTTGAGCTTATTAGGGGGATGAGGGGTGTATTTATTTAATCTGCAACTGATTCTCTGCTGGGCTGTGAAGAAACTGGCCAGCAATTCAATGTCATACTACCTAGTGCAAAGACAGATTGACTACTGTCACCCCTTACTACAGCAGTTGTGCGTAACATTGGTTTCAGTGTTGCCAGGAAGACAAGGCTATGATGGGGTTTGTTTTTTCCCCACTTTCTTTGTTCTGATTTGTTTATGAAGCAGGTGGCAGTGCTCCAATCTGCCTGTAATGAACATGCTGATTAAAAATAATTTTGGGGAAGTATTTTACGGAAGTCTCTATAACAACAGAACATATAGATATGTCACAGTAAACCCTTGCTAAACAGGCAGTTGTTTATTATCTAGGAAGGGATAGGCAGCAATAGAGAATTGAATGCAGCAAATAAAAGCTTTGATTGGAAGATTGAGGATGTACTGATTCTTCTGTCTGATTTTGATCCAGAAGTTTACATTTTCCTCTGTTTCCATTAAATCTGTCACAGAATATCACCTGATAACTGGCCCTTTTTAAATCAAGATCTACAGTGTCATTAAAGGTTTGATGTGACTTGCAACATAAAATTCACATGAAGATGGAATCATCTTACTTTTATTTAGGAAAAAAAGTTTAGCATTTAAAAATATTACAAATAAATGATATTTTCAGAAACTTTCAGGTGGTTTTGATGCTAAAGTTATTTTAGTCAGTTATGAAAGTTATGAAAGTCAGTGAGGTTCAGGCTTCTAAATCACACTTTATGCCTCCTAAAGGCTTTAAGGGCAAAATCTGTGCCTCTACAGAGCGCCTGGACAAGGCTTTTTATACTGTTTAAGATCTGGGCTCCATTTTAGGGTCAATTTGTGTGAGAGAGATTGCAGAGGGATAGAAGGATGCTCTTATCAGCTACAAATAGGCTGACCATGAGTAAGTTTGGGAGGAGATGGCTGAATCCATGCTTATAATGATGGTTTCTCTTGTTAAGATATGCAGTAAGATGCACTGTGTTTGATGGTTTTCCTTGAAGACAAACTTCTGCAGAGAACTGACGTGGTGAGCCCCTCTGCTCAATTGCTTGTTTCCAAGTTTGTTTGAGCATGGACAAGAGTCAAGGTGAAACACAGTGGCTCAGACAGCAATGAACACAATGCTTCTTGTAAGACGCTAATAAATGAGCCATTAAACATTGCTAGGGTTGGCAATACCATGTCTACAGGAAGCTAATTACTTGTACAACTGGTAAAATGTCATGACAACAACAAATGACGACATTTGATAGACAGGTAACAATGACAAGCTCCTGCCCTGCAGCATGCAGTTGGAAGGACTGGCCTGTATCTTCCCAAGCCAGTGGGATGTCTGAAGCAAGTAAGAGCAAATTAGAAGTTGCTCTTATTTCTGCTGTAAAGGTGGCTAGAAAGGGTGCAGTAAGCTCCAGTAAATGTACACACTAGAAATGTGTCAATCAGTGAAGACACTGCTGCTGCACAGTCTGCGTGGTTATATATGCTTCAACAGCAGAGCAATGGGCACAGGGGTGGCTGCTTCACTCTTCCCTAGTTTTCATTTTGCTCCTTCAAAAAGATTGTGGCCTAAAAATCTTTCCAAGGGCATCCGCTTTGGTAGTTTGGGCTTGGGTTTTTTATTTTCTCACCAATACACTCAAAAGACTTTGTTTTATTTCACTTTCTGTGCAGCAACAGCAGCACAGAGGCTCTAATTTGTTTGCTGGAAGCATATTTTCATGGTGAGAATGGCATGTCTTCCTCTGAGACCTTTTGTAAGAGCCCACCTTGCCTAATTGCAGGATTTCAACTGAGGTCTGACTGCCGAAGGATCCTTTTCTACTCAGTAACCTAATATCACTTACATTTTTCCATAACTATGAAAGCCTTGATTTTTAACTCATGTAATTTTCCCATTGAGAACACAAACCAGTTGAGGCATCTGTTAAAATCTATTGATGTAGCTGCTTGTTGGAAAAGAATTCAAAACAGATTTCTGTGAAGTGGCAGTTTAAAAGCCTTAAGGACACTGGTAATAAAACATTCAATTTAATTTGTAGGGTATCTGTCAAAATTCACCTAGCCTTGGTTGTGCAATTATTTATTTGTTATTAAATTGTCTTATTCCTGTTCCAGAAGGACAGAAATCAACATTACATGTGTTGTTTCTGGTGTTAATGGGCAGGCCAGTGCCTGGACAGTATGGAAATCCTGTCGTACACATATATGGGTAGGGTGGGGGTTAGAATGTATTTTTTTTTCCAGGGAAACAGAAGACATGAGGAATGCCCCACTGGTCAGGTCACTGATCTCCCTAGCCCTCTGCCCAGTGTCTGGCAATGTCAGGAGATCCTGTTCAATAAGACCGTGTGGACCTGGTCCCTTTGTGTAGTTCACTCCCCTTTGAACTTTCCCAGCAATCACAGTTGTTATATTTGGGGTGCATATATACCTTTTTGTATCCATGTGTGAGGCTATGAATTTGTCTCGTACCTTTTTGATGCTGTCTGACTCCACACCCTCCTGTGGCAAGAAGGTCCAGAAGATTACCACCCTCTGTGCAAAGACGGGCTTTCAAAAATCTAACTGAAATGGATCTCCTACTGGATTCACTGAGCGCTCTCACCCTCGACTTCATGTATTGTGGGGTTTTGTGAACACATCCATATTCCTGTTTTACCTATTGCTCCATGGTTTTATAAACTTCGATCATATTCAGTCTTAGTCTTCTCTCCGTACAGGGGATCTTCATCCTCTCAGCTGTTTTAGTCACTCTTCTCTAAGCCTGCCACATCCTTCCTGAGACGTGGAGACCTGAGCTGTAACCAGCTGCTGTGGGTGCACCAGGATCTCATGTAGCAGCAAAACAGCACCTTTGGCCTAGATCTCAGTCCTCTTTCTGACGAGACAGAAGCATCTTCATGGTGTATGGTGGGTATCTGCATTGTTACATATACATCAGGACTAATGGCACAAAACTGCAGCCCTTTGCCTAGCAAAACAGCACAAAATGCCCTGAAAAATCTATCAGGGAATATACGGATGCTTCTGAAGACCGAACTAGTCATTTCTTCTGGTGGCTGCTGTTTTTCAAATGGAGTAAGGGATTAAAAAAGAGCAAAACTTGAAAACCTGCCTGACACTCTTTTATAAAGTCACACATTTTTTTCAGGATTGTGGAAAAACAGCACTCACCAGGAAAGGCCCAAACTCTGAATCAATGCAAAATTGCTAGGCAAAATTTGAAATGAGGAATTTTTAAGTCTCTGAGACCTGGATTTCAGCCACCATCCTGCAGCTCTCCTTCCTTGCTCCTCTCAGCAGCGTAAAGGATCCAGAGAAAGAAAGAAGTGGTAGTGATTTGGGACCTAACTGTGGGCTCCTCTATGTGGCCACCAACTGGGAATCTGCTTCAAATTGCTACGGCCTTATTTTTCCTCTTAAAATGATCCTCCAAAAAGGTAGCAGTCAGAAGCATGGCTTGTGGCAATCCTGCTCTACTGAAAATCTGGCTTGTGAGCCTGTGGAGAGGAAGAATGGTTTAAAATTCTGAGTCATAAAGCTATTGCAGAAGCCACACAGTTTTCCTGGCCCTCTCCGATGGATTTTTCCACCAAACAAAATAAGGGTGCTTTGGCCTTGTAGCAGTAACTTGAGGTTCTGTGTGCCCAGCAAAGAGCTCTCTGCATCAGGCTTCCTGTGAAACCCACAGGAGATGAAGCTGATGTATTCCATATGAGCATGCAGAGGGAAGGCTTGATAGGACAGAAACACGGCCAGCTGCTACAAGAAACACCCAGTTCGGAGGCACACACAGTGCCAATTCAGAGCTGAGTTTCAACCGTGTTGCTAACTATACTTCCTGTAGCTTCAGCAGCTGCGCGGCTGAGCCTTCATGAACTCATTTGTCTCTGGTCTCTTCGCAATGCACACCCTTCCTTCTCTTCTGATGAGCTCCCAAGGACTCCCCAGCCCTGGCACAGCCAGTTAAGAGTGCGATGCGCTGTTTGTGCTTTTGAAAGAAGAGGATGTGTGGCTGTGTTCCTGCCGAGGGTGCTGTGTGTTGGTGCCCTGCAGTGTCTCACAGCAGTAATGAGCAGGGTTGGCTCAGCCAGCCTGCGGAGGCACCTGAAGTGCCTGCTCCTCATCCTACACACTACTTATAAGTAGTGTTACTTGTCCCTGACCGTGGCAGGAGGGTTGGAACTAGATGATATTAAGGTGCTCTCCAACCCTAACTATACTATGATTCTTATAAGGACAGAGAGGGAACAAGTTACAGCAAGACAAGCCTCTTGCCTCACAGGGCCACAGTCTGTAATAGTGGAAGGAGGCTGGCATTTTGCACCTATGTACAAAACACCCTTGCAGAAGACACATCTGTGGGAAGGGTTGCCTACAGGGGACAGAATCCTTATCTTCTGCAGTTCCTCCCTGCAAAACCTTGTTTTGTCCTGCCTGGGCCTTTTTACCATACTCCTCCTCAGTAATGCTCCCAACCCTCCTCCCTCTGCTCAGTCCTATCTCCATCCTGTGGGAATGTTTTAATTCTCAAGGCAGGGCTGCCTCCAGGGGCCACAGTTTCAAGGTTATCAGCTGCTTCATGCATTACATGTCAAATACCCCGACTGAATTGTTCTTTCCTGATGCCGACAGCTTCAACCAAACAAAGATTTAATGGTTGGGGGTGGGAAATCTTCAAAAAATTCTTGTCCTTGCCAATGTCAGAGAAAATGAAAAGTCTGCCACTCCAAATATAGTAGCAAAGGCTGCAAGCCCCAGGCTTGTATCTCTAGGCTTGCCATGCCAGTGCCTGTGTGCTGTACATGTAAGCATGGATGTTTTGCTTTTTGCCTAGCTATGGGGATAATCTGAAAAGCACTTCTTGCTTTTCAACCTCCTTACATGCATATGGACTGCTTTTTACAGTCCAGGTTTTACACCCCAGGTGTACATAATGCCTCTGTCTTGTTTAATACAGGTATGGAATTTGCAAGTGTTCGAATGGGCTTTCTCCACACGATGGATGGAGTGAGTTCCTACTGGATTGGGCTCTGCATGCAATCTGCTGGACTGGTAAGCATGGTACTCCATACCCGAGTAAGGATGTGCACTAACATCATGAAACCCCTCTGGCTTTGGAGGGTGACCCTCATGATACATAAGGAAAATAGGAGTTGTTTGGGGTTTTTAATTCTACAGAGTTACATGTGTCTCAAAGCTTCTCCCATTTCACTTTCCTGATAGGTCTCCATTGCTAATAAAGGACTGGATACAGTTATTAAAGGAAGGGAAATTTTTGTTGACCTCTTTGATTTTCTGATGGTCAGGAAGGATCAGCACTGGCTATTTAAGGTGTGTGTTCAATGACCATCCTGTGTTTCCACACACAGACCTGCTTCTTGATGCTTTTCTGCCTCTTGATGATTGGCTGGTCAAAGTCATTCCAATGTTTCCCTTAAACATTAACAAACGTGTGAATATACTTTAGACCAACCTGGTCCATCTCATACTCTCCTCCTGTCTTCTTTCTATAATTGCCCAAAGTGAATAATGCAAGTTTGCAATATCACTTTGAGATGCATATGAGCCTTGCGCTGGGCATGGGGATGGGAGAATCAGGGTGTGCTGGGTTTGGCTGGGATACAGTTAATTTTTTTCATAGTATCTGGTCTGGGGCTGTGTTTTGGATTTGTGCTGAAAACAGTGTTGGTCACACAGTGGTGTGTTCAGTACTGCTGAGCAGCGCTTACACAGTTAAGGGCTGTTATGCATCTCACCCCACCAGCAAATAGGCTGTGGGGGACACAGTCAGGACACAGCCAGCTGACCCCAACTAACCCAAGGGGTATTCCATACCATATGCTCAGGTCTCACACTATCCAATATAAAGCTGGGGAAAGAAGAAGGAAGGGGGAGATGTTTGGAGTGATGGCATTTGTCTTCCCAAGTCACCACTACATGTGATGCAGTCCTGCTTTCCTGGAGATGGCTGAACCCATGCCTGTGATGGGAAGTGGTGAATGAATTCCTTGTTTCAGTTTGCTTGCGTGCACAGCTTCTGCTTTACCTATTAAACTGTCTTTATCTCAACCCATGCGTTTTCTCACTTTTACTCTCCCAATTCTCTCCCAGTCCCAGTGTGGGGGAGTGAGTGACTGGCTGTGTGGTGCTCACTTGCTGGCTGAAACCACAACACAGGGTCAGAACTTTCAAGTTTGCCGATAGCTGAAGGAAGACAGACATATGAAAAAGAAATCATATGAAAGGACATATAATGCAGGAAAAAGCAATCAGTAGTGTTGGAGCTAAAGACTAGAAATTAGCTTTCCAGAAAAAACAGTGGGGAGAATCAAACAGAAATTGAACTCAAACCTCAGTTTTTCATATTTAAAGTTAACTCTTCATTAGTTCCAAGCTTTTTGACCCAGTACTTAATCAAAGGAAGAGCCTTTTGCATCCTCTCTTTTCCTATTCAAGTTGAACACTACATCTTGACCACAAACTATTACTGTCACAATGATTTTTACCTTGCTGGTGTTAGTTATGGCCATTGCGGCCACTTTCCAGCTCCTGGGTGGCTCATTGAGCCTTCTGCACTTAGGGGAAAAGTCCAGTGAATGTAAGTTTCAGCAGTGGCAAATACAAACATAGATCAAAAAAAGACAAAAGGGAGACTTTGACAAGGGAGGGAAATTTTCTGTATCTGATTTCTGCATATGAGTTTTTAGAATTCATGTTACCTAGTCTAGGGCATGGGAAGAGAACGCAGGGTTTTTTTATTCAGCCGAACTAAAATCTCTCAACTCCAGAGCTCACCTTAAAATAACAATGCAAAACAAAACACCAGTGGTGGTTTTCTCTCTGAACCTCAGCTTCCTTCCCAAGGTCTGTTAGAGCTTCACCTCTTGCTTGTAGATACCCATAACTACTTCATCACTCAGTAACTACAAAGAGCAGAGCACTGTTTCTTGTGGGAGCGCTGCCGAGGCACTGCAGACAGCCCATAATCCCTTTTTTAATGACAATCTCTAGGGCTGAAGTCGAAAGAGGAGACTGAACAACTGGTGAGCAGCCTTCCCACAGCTGAGCAACAGTGATGTGAAAATGGTCCAGGCATCCAGTGCCTGATTTTGTAGGTGACTGAGCAAGTATGAGAAGCTGAGTCCTCCCCAGAAGGACAGCTGGAGATCCTGTGAGAGGTGCTGCCCTGGCTGCTTTCTGCTGGCTCCCTGTAGCGAGAGCACAGCAGTATATGCTGTGGCTGAGGCTGGGAGCTGGGACTGTCTTGCCCAGGAGCCCCAGGGAGCTGGTGTTGCGCAGGCACGCAGCTGGCTGGCCCTGAGGTCAACAAGGCTGTAAAAATGTTGGACTTCAGGGACTGCCCTTAGAGTGTGAGCATATCGATTGCTGTAGCATGCGAACGTGTAATTGCACTCTAGTGGCCTGTGGTCAGTGGTAGAGCCAGGAGTGTGCAGATGTGATTACAAATATTGTCTACTTGCACAGATTCATTTACTCAGAAACTCAACCGTGCCTTTATATTGAGTCCTTATTCTAAGGTCACCAGAGCTCATTAAACTTGAGCTCTGTCCCGCTGCAGTGTGGAGGTAGTGCTCCTGCTTCCTTATATTCTCTGTGAGTTCTTTGTGGCATAAGGACAGAAAAAATGAGCCAAGGACTGAGCTGGTATAGTCTTATTAATGACAATGCAAGAGTCAAAAATCCCCTTGGTCTATTCCACTGATGTCCTTTACTCAGTCTTATAAATGACCAGAAGCTCCTAATTTGCTTCCAGAGGCTTCCCAGAGCTCTGCTGGATTTCACAGTCCATCTTCCTGTAGCTTGTTACTTTTCACTATAGATTTGCTTTATTTTTCCCTAGCTTTGTCTTTATCATCAGCTGCTTTCATTTTATCCACATTTTGAAAAGTGAATCTTAGCTGCATTCAAAATCTTCTTCACGTGGACAGACTCCTGATGACAAAAAAGAGGCATCGTACTCATAATCACCAAAAGCCACAGAGGGGACTAAGAAAAGCAGCAAGTCTGCTTGCTGAGGGTATCATGTGTGCTGCAGCAATTGTGTGTTGTCTATGATTTTGAAAGATGCAGTATACACAATAAGCAAAGAACAAGCAATAAGGACACATAATGTAGTTTTTGTAGACTCAGCCAAAAATAGTCTGAAGAATTAATTGCATCAAGTGGTTAGGAAAGCTGACACAATTTAACATCTGTGGGGTTTTATTCTTTTTCGCCAGTGTCTTATCAGAGATAGCAGTGATTGGCCAGGCTTAACATGGCCATGTGCATGTCAACTAGTAGCTCTAGATATTTGCTGAGGAGAGGCTTTCTGAGCCAGAGCAAAATGATGCTGACACAAATGCAGTATGTGTGACAGAGAGATGTGCTTTCAAAGGATAGGATATGCCCATGCACACATATCCAGGGACTTGCCATTGACTTGCTTTTTTAACTTGGCAGCTTGAGTCACTGGTCTTTTGCTGCTTTTGGTAGAGCTTTGGGACCTCTGCTATCTACCCATAAAGTGCATAGCTACCAAACAGTTCCCTTGATTGCCCTTTCCACAGGCAGACATTGGCCTTTTTCCAAAGGCATATTGTATTTGCATTGATCACACTGCTGACTATATGACCTTGTCATTAGGAAAACATGAAACATAAAATATGAGTTACTTGGAGTCCTTCTAGTGTTATTCATTGGTTTATTTTCTGATCCCTGAAAGAGATTGCAGAGCCAGCAGGAGTTTTACTTGAGGCCCGCTGACACCATGGAATTCGTGGTACTTTAATTATCCAAATGATCTAAACAAAAGAAGTTAACAACTCAGTAGTGTATGATTGATTGTTAGCTGTAAAATGCAAAAATGAATTTGGCAGCTGGAACAGCTACATGAGACTCTGGCAGTTTGCTCCTCCAGCACCCTGACTAGAGCATCAGATTGGATATAGAATCATAGAGTCGTAGAATATGCTGGATGTAAATAAAGTTTGAAGCATTCACAAAAGATTGTTTCTGCACTTATGAGCACCCTTTTTTCTCTGCTCTTTTGCTGTAATGAGTTAGTCATTATGGTGGACATCCTCATCATTTTTTCAGGTCGATGTCCAGACGATAACTGTAGTGCTTCTGGGACTGGGAATGAAAGATCAGTATAAGATCATGGGGGAATGAGGACACAAGCAGACCTGGAGACTGCACAAAGCCAAGAGTCTCAGAAACAACACCCTGAGAAGTAGCAATTCCCAGCAAAATGGTGATAGGCCTGGGGATAGAAGACCTGGGACTATCTGTTGGTAGCAGAACATCAGTGACAATACAAGGGAGCCCAGTGAGTTCATGGCCACTGCATCCCTCTTGCCCTGAACCTCTTTAGTGTTTACAACTTTGTTTTCACTTATGATGCACACTGAAGCACAAGCCAAGCCAATCTGCCCATTCAAGAAGCACAGAGAGCAATGCTTTCTCCCACAGCATGTTAATTGTGGCTGTGAGCTCCAGTTTGCCCTCAATGCTAGAAGAATACAAAAAAAAAAGACACAAACCAAAAAAAAAAAAAAGGGAGGAAAACCAACCAACCAAAAAACTATCTTGGCTAGATTTATGGTAGAAAAGTCTATCAAGGGCAGTTCAGTGAATGCAGGTACAGCAAAGTTCAAGAAGTCCTTAAGCTGCAGCTTTCTAGAGAGTGTCCTGGGGACAGAATAACCCTGTGCTTGCCCTTCACTAAGCATCCCTTATGTCTGTGAGAGCCTGGACTTTCTGGCCCCCTGTCTGGCTAAGCTCACCATCTTAGGTACTTATCCTGAAGGTGGAAGGCAGGCTTGGGTCACAAGGACACTTCTTCCCCTTTCACCTCACCACCAGCCTGCTCTTAGGAGCCAAATCAGGGAGCGTTAGGTAACACTCTTCATCAGGAAACAAAAACAAATGTAGCTATGTAGTTTGCAGTTTCTAGTAAAGCACTTTTCTTCCTTGAAACTGTATTTAAGGAAACCCACATAGAGCAAATTACTTGAGTGCCTGCAGTGATTTTCCTCACACTCATAATATACAAAGAAGCCTACCAAAAATCACAGAAAACTGCTGTAACGCAGCCCTTGCCACAACACCCTGTAACAGGAGTTGATCTCAAGACTTATTTGTGTATTTTTAGCATGTAAAAATACATTTGTCAAAGTTAGCAGCGCTGCCAATACATGTGACTTTCAGTTCATCTCAGAATACCACGTATTTTCATTAGCCAGAACTGCCACAATTAACTTCTTAGAAGAATCTCCATTTTCTGGAAATAGAAACTCATGGGTGGTCATGAAAACTGAATCAGAGGAGATGGGGAAGAGAAATCTGAAGCTGACTTGGCAAAGATAGTAAGTATTAGGAGCTAGAAAGTCAGAGCTTGCAAGAAGCCAAGATTCAGATGCAGAGTTCCTGTTATTTTGGAGAGGCAACTAAGAAACTGTCTGGGATGAGTAACAAAATTGTACAAGGTGGGAAACTGGGCATTAGCCAGAACCATTAGCCAGAACATGGGGCTGAAGCTGACAACAGGAACACACATAAAGTCATAGGGAAATGTGGGCAAGGAGATGGAGAGAAGGAAGGGCACAGACAGTTTGGAAAGAAGGGGCAGAGGGAAAAAATCGGGTGAAGAATCTTGTTCTGTAAGTAATCACCATCCCCAAAGGAAGCCGAGATACCTTCCCATTGCTCCACAATGCAAGGATGAGGGATTGTTATTGCAGTCAGTTGGTCTATTTCTTGGTCTACGTCACAGAGTTCTGTGTAGGTGACCTAAGTGTCCCAGCTGATGTGTATCAGCTTGATGCTACAACATGGAATTTCCACTTTTATAATCTGGATAGCTATAGACTGCACACTTTCTGTCCTCATGAGAAAGATTTCAAAGTTAGTCCTCTAAAAGTTGGAAATACCAGAGTTAAGAATGCCTGTACATGTGCGCTAAAGGACCGCCGTTAACTGTATGATCCCACAGCGCTCCACAGGACCCTGGCCCCACCCAGCACACAAGATGGATGGTGCTCACTTGATGAGCAGCTGCTCAGTATTTCTTCCCTCCCTTGTTTGGAGTGTCTCCATGCCTTATTGACTACATATTATCTACGTTGAAGGCAATTACTTTCCTCATGAGTTTTTCTGTGCTGCTTATTGCTATAGTAACAGTGCCTCACAAACACTAACTCATCTGTTTTCTCTCTTTCCATCAGATATGGCAAGGCACTACCTGTGTTTCATGGATGCAGAACTGTAATTCCTGAATGCAGAGCTGAGGAATGGAGACCAGAGGCTGAAGTCACTGATTTCAAGTGCTCATATTAGAGTAGGACTTCATGTTTCACAGCACTTGGTGACTCACAGCACTTTGCAAGCTCTAGCTCCAGGTTACTTTGCCTTTAGTTTTTCCATACCTCCTGCAATTTCAAAGCCTTGAGTCAGAACCTGAAAAATAATGAACACATAACTACTGACCATCTCTGAAAAGTTCGAATTACTTAAATAATGTCACAAAATCTGTGTCACAGACCAGGACAATATGTATTCATGCAGCTTGATGTTCATCTGCCTCTAACCATGACACCAGCCAGTCCCTCAGCTCATTAATCATGTAACATATGTTCTAGGGGCATTGCCATGGGCTACTGGGGCAAGGAAAGCATCAGCTAATACAGCAGTACAGTGAACTGAAAAAAGTAGTGCCAAATAAATGTTGCAAACATTACAGAACAGTGAGGTATGCATTAGCAGTGTGATTACTCTGCTTACTTGCACATTTGTCCTTTTTCTCTCCTCCACTGTGTGTGTTAACTCTTTCTACACTGCACCTCTTGTGCTGGGACTGTCATTTTCTGTATTTGCAAAGCACCCTTCATATGCTCAAAATGATTCCAACAGCCTGTAAGATAGGCAAACATCACCATTTTAGAGGAGGGGAAGGTTAAAGTATGGGGCCTAATTAAAAAAAAAAAGGGGGTTATAATGATTGCATATTTCTTATTTGTGCAAGGAAAGAGGCCATCTGTGAATGCACAGTCTCCTGCTCCTGGACACGCAGCTGAACACCGGAATGGGCTTTTCTGGGCACTGATGTGCAGCAAGTGTAAATAAATAAGTGCATACCTATTCTGGAGGCTATAGATACATGTGAGTCACTCAAAGTAACAGAGGAAGTCAATGAATCTTGTCATCTAATTAGTATAACAGAGGAAAAATATTTCCCTAAACCAGCAAGCAAATATGTCATGTGAGATCCAATACGTTAAATTCTGCTGCGGGCCTGAAAGTTCCAGTAAGCACCAATCTTTCTTACTTAATTAACCTCCTTGGGGAGCTGCACTGCAGGTGTTTTTCATTATTTTCAGCAGAAGTTTAGCAATCTCTTCACATTGTGTTTCTTAGGACAAACCTCTGCTTTCCAGCCCGGGATAGCTTTGTTTCTGAATTGTTTCTCTCTTTATCCCTCCTAGGTCATTGGAGCGAAAAGCACTTTCTCCTCCCTGATCCTCGTCATGTATCTTCCTGGAGAAGAAAAAAAATACGTGGGCTGGGGAAACTGTACTGCTGCCTGAAATCTCATCTATCTGGATGCTTACCATGATGACAAATCGATGAAGGAAGAGGATCTTTTTTCATCGTTAGTAATAGCACAGTCCTGGCCAGATGCAAGGGAAAAAATAAGAGTCCCTCATTAGAAGGTTTGACCAACCCCCTGAAAGATTATATTAAGCTCTTTTCAAGGGCTTATGTCTTATTTTAGCAAGTCACACACTCAGATGCCCAGCTGCCCCCCCACTCACACGAAGCAGGGTGGGTCAGATTACTTCCCATGCCAAAATGGGAGTAACCTATTGGCTACAGAAAGCATTTGGGAATGCAGTTATGCAGAACAGTCAGTGACAGGCTTTCTGTGGCATGGCTCTTCAGTTCATGGAGCATTCAAACTCTACAGTTGGCCTTGGTTTTTGCTATTACATCTTCATCTTTAGGATGGGTCTCAGATACCCCTTTTGTGCATGCATTCCTCTCCTCCCAGGATGTCTGGGATTTGAAAACTTACTGTGAGTTTTGTTGTAAGAAATGAGTACTTTCCAGTGATTTAGCTGGAAATGGGCTGCCTCTTACAATGCTACTCCATGCCCTATGTTTCTAGGCATGCTGAATAAGTGACCTCTAAAAACTGTGAGGCCTGAAACTGCAAAGATATTCATGATAAGTTCAGAACACAAGCACAATCTCAGCTCTGTAGCTTGGCAGCTTCCCTGAGATCCTTCCCAAGGCAGGTGGCATGAAGGACTATTGAAGTGGGTGAGTGTAAAACAGATAAACTCCCTGTAGACTTCAGTTAACAGTATTAATTCTCCTTCCTGGCAAGGACAATGGCAGAAGGTCCGTTTAGTGAACTCCCCTGGGATCTGTGGCAGGAGGTGGCTTAAAGCATAGTTTAGCACCTATATCTGCAGGCACTCCTTAGTATTTCAACCCACTGACACCCTGTAATGGGAGATTTGTGAATGCTGCTAGCCTCCTAACTCTGACCTCAGAGCAGGGCTTCGCATTTAGTCCTTTCCTAGCTGGAAGACTCTCTTAGCCCATTGACTAATTAGGTCATTTTAATTTACAGAAACATTAAGCCCTGATTTTTAAATCTGGCATTGAAATGCTGCCACTGAATTGCTCTTGCCTCCACCTCCAAGTTTGCTTCTGCCACCACTAGCATGACATAAATCAGTGCATCTCTGACTAGCTGCCTCTGAGCAGTTGCTTTAATATCCGCATACTGGCATGTAGGAGCAGGAAAGAAAAGACGTGTGCCTGGGATGTGAGCAGAAACCAAGAGGGCTGACGTGCCCTTTTCTGTTTGTTCGCTGAGGTGGGCGGGCACAGAGCTCGCTCCTCTTGGCCTTTGGGAGCCCTTGTCCCTTTCCTGTGCAGGGGAACATGAACAGTGTGCCCTGATACCACTCTCTGGTGTCTCCAGGGTACCCCAGGACTGGCAACATGGATGGAGCCCAGCAGACCTAGCGTCTAAAAGAGCCTCTTGTTGACTGCATGTTGCTATATGTTGTATCTCTCCTATGGTGCTGTGCTGTCTGAGAGCTGCAAAGGCCAGAAGGAAGCATTGCATATAGCTTATATCCACATTTTTGAAATTGTGACATGCATCCCTACGGCAATGGAAAGAAATGGTGACTACAGCTTAGTACTTACCTTTCTTCGCTTGCCCAGGAAGACACTTTGCAGCCTCTATCCTGAAGGTAAACGTACCCCTAACCCTAAAGAGAAAGACACAGATCTCAAGATACAAATTAAGCTCGTAAGTGCTTGACTGCTACTTTGCACAGTGTATGCAAGAACACTGTGCAGGGGTAAGGAAGTGGGGATGCCATCAGAAGCAGCCAGTAGGAGCTTTTTGTTGGATACAGCCATTGCAAGGAGCTCAACCCAGCTGGGCCCTGGCCCAGCAGAGGTTTGTAGCTCTCCTTCTCCCCCAGAAAGCCAGAGAATCCCTGATGGACTGGAGAATTAAACTCTGATCTTAATTCCTTAGCTTTTCTGGTCTTAGTCTGAGCCTTAGTCGCCTATGTTTTTGTCCACAGCTACAATACATTTGTTGCTAAAACCCCTTCTGGATATTACAGGTCTCCAAAAAGCATGTAGACAATGCTCAGGAAATTTCTGTGTGATATTTTCTAGGTCATCTTATGATATGGGGAAGTACAGAGGGAAAATAAACATTGGGTCCCTCTTTGACATTAGTTGTTCATTATGCAAGTAATTTAAAAAATGGATACAATATAGGAGTTTATGTATGCTCATATGTGTATAAATTAAGACATGCTCATATATACACGTTAAATATATTAAGTTAATTAGTAACAGAACAGCAAGATTCACTTCATTTTCCAAGCTCTCAGCTCTCTTTTATGGGATTTATTTAGGACTGAAGCAGCACCCAGTCTACAGCAGCTAGCTTACAGTGCAGCCAAGTGAGTCATTTCCACCTACACTAACACATGTCAAAATGGTTCCTACTGTGTGTCTACCTACTAAGTAATAAACAGAAAATAACTATATTAGTCTCAACTTCTGCAGCTTCTTTTATCTGAGGGTCTTAAAGGAGGGTAGGGCTGGAGACCTCCCAGCCCTGCTATGGTGGTAAGGTATGTTACATGCATTGAGGCATAACACATACATTTTTAGGTGGGGAAACTGAGGCACATAATAGTTTATTTACCTAACGTCATATAGCAACTCTGCAAACAGAGTAAAGCTAGAGACCACCTGCCCCCATAGCTTTCTTTCCTACCCACAGGACTACACTGCCATTAAATTCCAGAAATGTTTGTTGGTTTGGGTTTTTTTTGCTTATTTCCAGCTGGAAGTGATGGAGTTTTCCTCCTTTCTGTTGCTTAGCTACCCCCTGACCTTTGGATAGTCTTTCTCATTGGCTAGGTGAATGCCTTTCCCTCCAGCTGCCTGGATGCAGACATGTCTCAGATCTCCCCCTCTGGCACGATTTCATCAGCTGCCCTGCCTCAACTGTGTGTTTGTTTTCCCATATTGCTGAAACAAATTTTGCTCTTTTCGTGCAGTATATATCAAATGGTGCTAGAAAGAATGCAAAAAAAAAAAAAAAAAGCCTTCAAGAGCGATGTCTATTTTACTAATTCATTATATTACACAAAACCACACTGTTAAAGAATGCTAACCTACTAATAACTGTGATTCTGCTTCATCAACCTGCAGATCAGTGGGTGTGGGGGGTTGACCCTGGCCAGATACCAGTTGCCCAACAAAGCTGTTCCATCACTCATTTCCTCAGCTGGATGGGGGGGAGAAAGTGTAATGAAAGGCTCGTGGGTTGAGATCACACACCAATCACAGGCAAAGCAGACTTGACCTGGGAAATTAATTTCTTACTAACCAGATCACAGTATCACAGAATGGTTTGGGTTGGAAGGGACGTTAAAGCTCATCCGGTTCCAACCCCTGCCGCGGGCAGGGACACCTTCCACTAGAGCAGGTTGCTCCAAGCCCTGTCTAACCTGGCCTTGAACACTGCCAGGGATGGGGCAGCCACAGCTTCTCTGGGGAACCTGTGCCAGCGCCTCAGCACCCTCATCATAAAAAATTACTTCCGTATGTCCAGTCTAAACCCACCCTCTTTCAGTTTGAAGCCATTGCCCCTTCTCCTGTCATACAGGCACTGGTGAAATGTCTCTCACTTTCTCATAAGCCTCACCACCCCCACAGTGAGGAACTTCTCCTAATGTCTAATCTAAATCCGCCCTCTGTCAGTTTAAAGCCATTCCCCCTTGTCCTGTCACTACAGGCCCTTGTCAAAAGCCCCTCTCCAGATTTCTTTTTGGCCCCTTTAGGTATTGGAAGGCTGTTACAAGGTCTCCCTGGAGCCTCTCACGTATTCTCACTCTCTCTGGCTGCTGTTGTGCAACTTTTTTTCCCCTTAAGCATGTTATTCCAGAGGTGTTCCCACTGTTGCTGACGGGCTCAAACTTGGACAGCAATGGGTCTGTCTTGAAGCTGGCTGGCACTGGCTCTATTGGACATACGGGAAGCTTCTAGCATCTTCTCATAGAAGCCACCCCTGTAGCCCCCCTGCCACTGTCAAAACCTTGCCAAGTAAAGCCAATACAGTGGGATTTCCTGTTCAAAACAGCTGAAACTGGAACAGTTAAAACTCTGAACAAACAGGGATTTGAACTTGGCAACTTGAACATGCATCCACTCGACACATGACCTCATCACTACTAAAACCACCTTAAAAACTTGCATGAGGAGTCTACTTGATGTAGGGGGCTTTAAATCTTTATTAAAGACATTTGGGAGTGAAACTTTTGGTCTGATGGTGTACTGGCATTTCATACTACTGTTTCTAGGATTTGAGTTCTCAACCTAGTCTGTTTTGACTCCTTGAAAGGCAGCTAGAATAATCAGAGATTGCTTTTTTTTTAATTCTTTTAACCTATCAACCTTTACTGTCACATTACATAGAATAAAAGTGCATTCATTCTTGTCTGGAAATATTTTGCCAAAAATCACATTTCCTGGAGGTGCAGAAGCAGTTACTGGGACAGAAAACACAAAAGAAAGAGAAGAAACATGCCTTGTCAGGCCATTCTGTAACTTTTCTGAATTCCTTAATCATGGAGGATGATATCAAATGGACCGCATAAAATCTAGAGCCCTGTGTTAGGCACCAGTGTCCTACAGACAGTGCAAGGACAGTTAAATTTCCTTTCTAATGGGACTCAAACAAACTATAGGATGGAGCTTTTTGTGTTCAGCCTTTGATGAACTGTCTGGTGAGCACTGAGGATACAGGAGCCTAAAATCTAACTTCATGGGAGTCTTCAAGGAGGCATATTCATATGTTTGGGATCCATTATGTACGGCCTTCTCTTAAAGAGCTGAGGAGAGGTCACCCTTCTTTCTTCCAAACTGCCAGAAGACATGGTGGGATATCTCCTTTCCCCTGTCAGCACACACTGCTGTGAAGAGGACCTTCCCACCACACTGGTCTATTCTCACCCCCACCAGAAGTGCTCAAAACTTTGTCTCTGACTTCTCAGGAAAGTGTCCTTGCTACCAGGGTATTTGGTATTTATCAGAAATAGCTCACTTGTGAGAGACTGAGTTTAATTCACAGGAGTCAGTACAAACAGCCAAGATCTTCAGATGGAAGGTATTGCAGAACTGCAAATTATTATATTTAGTCATAGAGCTCTTGAGACTCTGCCCTTTGAAGCCTAAAGTCATTCATTAGCAACATCATCATGTAATGCTGAGCTCTTAGTAGAACATAATGAAGATATCCTCAGGATGAGGGGAAAAAACGAAACACCACATTTCCTCCCATGGGAGAGAGCATAAGAACTAGATGTGCAATCCTAACAGATACATTCCTTCAGGAGAGATGAGTTTGTGTATTTCTTCCAGCACCAAAATGAATTTACCACAAATTATAAGACAACTTTGCGCTCCTGCTGATTAGGCTCTCAGGATG